TCCTCCTCCTCCTCCTCCTCCTCCTCCTCCTCCTCCTCCTCCTCCCTCCTCCTCCTCCTCCTCCTCCTCCTCCTCCTCCTCCTCCTCCTCCTCCTCCTCCTCCTCCTCCTCCTCCTCCTCCTCCTCCTCCTCCTCCTCCTCCTCCTCCTCCTCCTCCTCCTCCTCCTCCTCCTCCTCCTCCTCCTCCTCCTCCTCCTCCTCCTCCTCGTCGTCATCATCGTCATCATCATCAAAATCCTCGTCGTCATCAGCATCACTGCCATCAAGGGGCTGCACGAGGTTGCGCAAGCTTGTGCAAGGCTTGTGCCAGTCCGCTGCTCGACCCCACATACGTCCAGAGGCACGACGCCCGCAGGGCCGGACTTCGCGGCCCCACCCCGCTCGGGCCCGCCAGGCCTCCATCGTCGTCCGGCGCCTCGGCGGCCTCGACAGCGGGGCCGAGGTCACGCAGGAGCTGCTGCGCCAGCGGCTGCGCGCCGCCTTCGCGGAGCGCGAGCGTCGCTGTGCCGGCCCCGCGCGGGGAGAAGACCGCGGATCGGGGGCAGCGTTGCTCTCGAGCAGTGGCGAAGCGTCTTGGCTTACCTATATAGGCCCACCAAAAAATGCCCTGGGATCCTTTGTTGTCTGCACGAGATGTTCTCATGACATCTCTGGCTGAGACTGTCTTGTTTTGACACATCGGGCTTGTGTCATGATATCATTGCGTATGTCGTTGGGACGCTTGTGGGTTCTAGGAGCATGTGGTGGTAGGCCTACAGAATGCTGGGGCGGTCGGTCCCTGCTCAGCGTTCCAGATCTGGTAACAGAAGGAAGGGGGCGCCACAGCCTCCCAGGCGAGGAGTTTGATATTGTAATGGCCTCCGGCCAGTGCCGCCGATCCGGGGGGCTCTGGATTCGGTGATCTTCGCGGCTCTCTGTGGCCTCCTCCCTCCTCGATTCTTCCGGTGCTCTTTCTTCTCCTCTGGGGGGGTGCCTGGAGCGGTCCCGGGGGGGGTCGGGGAGGGTTCCGAGGGGAGGGTCTTGGGGGCGGTAGCGGCTGGAGTTTGGTATATACCCCCCTTGGCCAGCCAACGAAGGGGCGGCCTCTTGCCCAGACCCCACTGGAGCCCTGCAAGGAAGCTCCAATCTGACCCCACAAAATCAGACCACCACCCTTTCTGCTGTGCGAAATCTGGAGTAGCTAGAGTCAACCCGCATAGTAAGGGTGAGCAACTGTCCAAGCGTACCCTTACATCCTTGCCCCTTTTCGGCCCGTCCTTCCGGCCCATCCACACAAGAAAAACGTCGACGTGGCTTTCCAAAGCCTTGGCATCCTCGCCGCGCATCCTTTCTATATGGGTTGACTGTAGGGGGATCGGCTGAGGGGGGGGGAAGGCGGGCTCATCGACCCCACTTCGCCCACTGATCGCCGAACTGGGCCTGACAGCCAACCTTTCCCAGGAGCGCTCGGTGTCACCATCGGCGGCCTCGCGCCGATCTATCGCCGATGTGTCGCGAATTCCAGGCCGTCCGAGGACTTAGTGACAGGGATACCCCTGGCCAAGCCACTGCACACCACCTATACACTACAGCCAGGCACCCCGCGGGAGACGACAGACCCAACGCCTCCAGCAGGGCCTCTTCTCAGGAGTCTGCCGATGAGCCGCCCCGTCCTTCTCGTTTTCCGTCAGGTAGGTGCCACTCCAGGCCTCCCAAATGGGGTCAGAGAAGGCTGGGCTGGGCATGGCGCTACGTCGCCGGTGCGTCGGCGATACAGCTCGACTTGGAGGCCGATCTTTCTTCACGCCGACGCGGCGCGATCGACCGACCCCATCCGACTGTGATCATGGACCCCTCGTTGAACGCAACCACCTAGCTCTCGCGCCGAGTCTACCCCCATCGCTGCCCCTCAGAGGCGGTGGCGACGGCGTCAGCGCCGAGTACTGTCGCGCCGTCAACGGCGAGCAGGACCTCGACGGGGGAGCTGGCAGCCATCGGCCGTTTGAAAGCGTGCACCACCCGGGGAAGGCACCCCAAAACAGTCTACGTTTTTTGTTGTGTTTGGGGGGGGGGGGGGGGGCGTCGCGGCCCCGCGCGCAGCGACAGGGCGTATAACAAAACAATACACACACGTTTTTTTGCGTCGGCGACGGGGCAGAGGGCGACTGTTCCGGCGGATGGGCAGCAGGGGACACGGTATGCAAATTAGGGCCGCACTGCCCGGAGGGAGGAGGAGGAACCCCTGGCGCGACGGGAAGAGGAAGCCGGGCCATTCAGAGCTGCCGGCTGCGGCGGGGGGAGCGCCGTGGGGGGGTGGCAGCGCTGGAAAAAATTGTACCGAACTGCGGTGGGCTGCAGCGGAGGGGGGCAGCCAGGAGCTGCAGCTGGCGGTGAAGAGAACACGATGCGTAGCCCAACCCGGTGGACCGAGCACACTCAAGGGATGGGCCAATGCGCCGAGACCGGCGGGCCTGCGAGGCGCGCGCGAGGTTATGGGGAAGGCCAGGACGGAGCAGCCCCAGCTGCAGGCACTGCGCCGCGGCCACACAAAGGTGGGTGTTGGACGGCGCAGAGCTGAATGTGGCTGAAGCAGGTGCCGAGCGGCACAGAACAGTGAAAGGGGGAAGGCAGTCATGGGGGCGGTGCCCGACCCAGTGGACCAAGGCGCGGTCCAAGGATGAGTCAAAACGCCGAGACCTGTGGGCCTGCGAGGCTCGGGCGTGAGGGGCGGAAGGCCAGGGTGGCACCGTTCAGGCAGAGCAGAACGAGAGCGGCCAAAGAAAGGCGGCGGAAGGGCGGGAAAGACGAGCGCCCAGAACCTCGACCCGCGCCGACGGGAAGGAACCCCGACATCGGCAACGTTGGGGAGCGCCGAGACCAGGCAGAGCAAGGAAAGCGCGGAATGAGGGACGGCCCGGCGGGGCGCGGTGCGGCAGCCACGGCAAAGAAGGCTTGAGGCACCGCCAAAGGGGGGAGCGGCGGGCCCAAGGCAGGCACAACGAGGGGGGGGAGCGGCGACAAAACCCGAACGCCAGCCGGCGGCGGGCAGGAAGGCCTCTCCCAGAGGAGGGCGGCAGGCCAAGCGGGCGAACGGTTGGGCCCAGAGGCAGAGAGCCAGCAGCAGCAGCCGGACATGGGCGAGGTGCCACGACGCCTCTGGCGCCGCCGTGACGCGCGCCGCGCACAAGGGAGGAGTGTCCAGCGTCGGTCCAGGAGATCCGCGGACCTCCGAAATGCTATGCTTACAGATGCAGTGCTTGTTTTTCCTTTAGCCACGGTTGGATCCGCGTCGGCGTCCTGGTCGGAGCGCACCCCCGGGCCCCAGGAGCGGTCCAGGTTGTGAATACAGTCGGGGCGCTGAAGAAGGAACCTTTTTCGTTGAGGAGGGGCTCCGTGTTCCTTGACTGTTTTACAGCTTGCCTTAGGTGTTCCTTTGATTTACGATGGGAAATCGAAGTTCAATTTATGGAAAAAAGGGGCCTCGTTCCTTATTTAGGGTTCCTTAAGTCAACGCCCCGACTGTAGCGGTCTCTGGATCCTCTGGTTGCCACAAGGACGGCCTGCCGGGCATGTTCGTCGACCGCTTCGGCAGCGCCGCCGTGGCCACGTTCGAGTCGGTAGGCTCCGCGCGGCTGGAGTTCCTGGTGCAGGAGGAGCTGACGCGGTGGATGGGGAAGCTGCGCTTCCTGGCCGTGCACCGCATGGTGGCCGCCAAGGAGAAGTGGGCGCAGCAGGGGCAGGATGGAGCAAGAGGGCAATGGATGGGTATAACCTTCTGGAGCTCCGGGCGGATTTCTTGGATCGAGGCTCACCCCCCCCCCTGGCGCGCGGAGCGCACCAGGGGCCGTAGCCGAGCGGGTCGCCTCGGCCAAGCGCCGATTCAAGGAATCCGCGCGCAGCTCTGACACTGCACGCTCATGCCGCTTCGTTGCTCCCGGAGGAGTTCACCACGGACGTCACCCGCGGGGATGGCTCGAGGGTCGTCGTGCTGGACCGCTCCTGCTCCTTCGAGATCGACGTCCATCACGGCCCCGCGGGCCACTGGTGCTACGGGCTCGAGGCCCTCCGCCAGGAGCTCGTCGGGCAGCTGGCCATGGGCGGCACCGTGCTGGACGCCTGGTCCCACGTGGGCCAATGGGGCGTCCGCTGCGCCAAGGCTGGCGCCCAGGAGGTGGTGCTGCTTGACGACTCCCTGAGCCTCGCGAAGGTGTGCCAGGACTCGAGGAGAAATCACGGCACAAACGTAAGTTTCCGGAGCGCCGTGCGAATTTCTTGGATCGGCGTTGGATCCCCTTGGCGGCGCCTCCCGTGCCGCCCTTCAAGGGTCCGCGCGCCAGGGAGGAGGGTCCAGCGCAGATCCCAGAAATCCGCGCGGGGCTCCGAGCGCGCGCGTTTACGCCGCTTCTCCTCCTCCAAGGACAACGTTGTCCGCAACGGGGTGGAGGCGCAAAGCACGGTCCTCCACCGTGGCAGCGTCCACGACGAGTTGCGCAACATGACCGCGAGCGGCATCCGCTTCGACTGCGTCGCGCTGAACGTGCGCGTGAAGTTCGAGCGGTACTTCAAGCAGCGGCACGGCCAGTTCGGCCGCTGGACCAAGCCCAGCCTGAAGGGCTACGCGACGGCCATCAGCCTGGGCGCGCGGATCACGGGCCGCGGAGGCTACCTCGTGGTGGCGTTCGTGCTGCCCCTGGCTGGGGAGCACTTCGCGGCCAGCCTGCTGCAGGACCTGGCGGCGTGCCGGGGAGCAGTGCGAGGGGGACATTCGGTCTGTCGGCCACATGCAGAAGGGGGGCAGGGGGAGGGGGGGAAGGCTTCTCAGAAGCAACCCTGCTTCTTAGAAGGCGCGGGCCTTGTCTGTAGATTTGGGGCCAGCGCGCTTTCCAAGAAACAACCTCCTTCCAAGAAGCCTTCTCCCCTTCCCCTACCCCGTTGCGCGCAGCCGATTCTTGACGGCGCGCCTGGGGGGGAAGATGAGAGGAGGCGGGACTTCTCAGAAAGCTCGGAAGGCCTTTGACGTTCTGAGATTTTGTCGGAGCCTTCCCCGACGGCACGGGAAGATTCTCAGAAGGCGCGAGGGCTCCTGAGAAGCCCGCCGCCTTTGAGAAGGCCTGCTCCTTCTCACTTCCTCCCCGGGCGCGCCGCCGACTTCCAGAATCAATTCGGAAAGTCGGCGTCGCGCACTGAGGCGGCGACAAGTGAGGGTGGCAGCGAAGGCTGCAGAAAAGGAACCCTGCAGGGCCCCCTGCAAGGGCCCTCCGGAGCCCAGAAGGGGGCCTGCAGGGCCCGAGCAGAGCACCCTTCTTCCCCCCCCCCCACTTGCCGCCACCCCATCCAGCGCCGCCCCTTGTCGCCACCCTTCTTCCCCCCCCACTTGTCGCCACCCCATCCAGCGCCGCCCCCCACTTGTCGCCACCCTTATTCCCCCCCCCCCCAGCTTGCCGCCACCCTATCCAGCGCCGCCCAGGCATCGGAAACGAAGCGATGACCGTCGTCGTCGCCGCCGCCGCCGCCGCCGCCGCCGTCGGCCGTCGTCGCCGTCGTCGGCCGCCGTCGGTCGCCGTCCCCCCCCACTGAACTCCAAGGGCTCCCACGAGCTCCCACGAGGGCGCGAAGCTGCTCGCGCCTCGCGCCCAGCAGAAGGCACCGCGCCCCGCAGAAGGCCCTCCTCCTCCTCCTCCTCCTGCTTTTTCTTCTTGCCCCTCCTCCTCCTCCTCCTTCTCCTCCTCCTCCTCCTCCTCCTCCGCCGTCTGCTCTCCCTGATTGTGGTGATGTCTACTTGGCCGTGCTTATCTGGGGAAAGCCACCACGCCTCCCCGCAGCAGCCCGCCCGGCGCCCCGAGGCGCGGCCCTCCCGAAGGAGGCCTCCCCCCCCGGGGCCCGGCTTGCCTCGATCGTGGGCGCCCGAAGGGGGCACGATCGGGCCGGACGGAAGGTCAGAGCCCCAAAATCATCAGGGGTAACTCGGGTCCGGGATAACTCGGGTTCGTTTTTCGGGAATCCGAGCCCGAGTTACCCCGGACCCGAGTTACCCCGGATAACTCGGGCGTCCAGAGCCCCAAAATCATCAGGGGTAACTCGGGTCAGGGATAACTCGGGTTCGTTCTTGTTCATTTTGAACAGGATTTGCTGTCCGCGCCGCCGCGGCCCGTGTCCATTCGAGACAGGAGGCCGCCTGCCCAACAGCGGCCGCTGTCGGTTTGGGACAACATTTGCTGTTGGGCATAGTGCCCATTCTTTCCGTACCCATTTCGGGCGTCCAAATCCATCGTGGGCGCCCGAAGTGGGCACGATCGAGCCGGACGGAAGCGGGGGAATTGGGAAAGGGGGGGTCGCGAAGTTTGCTGCATGCAGCTGGTTTCGGCCCCGCCGAGGGGCCCATTCCTCGATACATGGCCGCCTCCGGCGCCAGGTGGCGCCGGGAAAATCAGTTACGTGAGCTGATTCTCAAAGCCCCCTTTTGCTATCCCCCCCTTTCGCCCGACCCGATACGAGGCCTCTCGAGGCGTCATGGGGGCGCCCCGGGAGCCTTTTGGGGGCTCCGAGGGAATGCTTCGTCTTCGCCGCGCTCATCGGCAGCCCAAACGGAACCCCTCGACGCAGCGCCGCAAGGAAGTTCCGACGATCCGCTCCAGCCAGTGCGAGGCCCACGTGTTTCCCCTGCGCCAGCGCGTCGGAAGCGGCCTCGTGGGAGCTTGGAATTCCTGGGGCCTCGTGGGGTTCTGCTGGAGCCCTCTGGTGGCCTCTCAGGGGCCTCCTCCTCCTCTGTGGGCCCCCATGCGCCTTCGGAGGCCGTCTTCTTGGACGCCCGACATGGGTGCGGAGAGAGCGGGTACAATCAATGCCCAACAACAAAGGTTGTCCCAAACCAACAGCGGCCGTTGTTGGGCAGGCGGCCTTCTGTCTCGAATGGGCACAGGCCGCGGCGGCGTGGACAGCGAGTCCTGTTCAGAAAGGACAGGAACTGCTGTTGGGCATTGTACCCATTCTTTCCGTGCCCATTTCGTTCGTGCAGACTTGAGTCGGGCGCGTCCCTCTGCAGGAGACAAATTCAACACTGGTTCAAGAGTAGACGATTCTTATTCAAGTTCGGATTCAAAGTCAGCTCAGCTCATATAGCGTAAGCAGTTTGTTCTCCAGTTCAAGGTTTCAATACGTTCGAGTGCAATGCTTATTCAAATAGTTTAAGAGTAGACGATTCTTTATTAAGATAGTTGGTTCAAATTCTGCAGGAAGCGCGTCCAGGAGACGATTTTGTTGGCGCAATGTTGGGCGTTTGTTTTGTATGTTTTGGCTGTTTCCATTTGTCGTCCAGGACCCGCCCGTACGAGGACACGCCCGACCCAAACTTGCTTCATGTCGACGTAACCGGTACGTCGCCGACGTCGGCGATGCATCGCCGGTGCGTCACCGATGCATCGCCGGCGAATCGGCGATGCGGCGCGATCCTCCGACCCGATCTAATTGCTCCGACCCCATCCAGGAGGCCTCCACGGACCCCTCCTGAGGTCCGTCCTGGCCTGCCCTGCAACCTGCGCACTGCCGCGGAGACGAGAATCTTGGCTAACGACCAGGGGCCTCAAATTCGAAGGCAACAGCGGCAGCGAGTGCGGAGGCGACGTCGTCGGCGGCGACGACGAGGGCGACAACGACGCCACAGGACGGCCTCGAGCGAGCGTCGCGCACCGGCAGCATCGTGTTCCACGCGTCGGGCGTCGACGAGAACTCGGCGCTCGCCTCCTCCGCCATGGACGACCTCTGGGTCCCGGTGCTCCTCTGCGCCCGACTCAACTGACCTGGCCACCGCGGCGGATGCAGGTCGGCTGCGCGTGAGAGCGGCCCTGCGCCAGAGTTTAAGTCGGGCCTGTCCCCCTACAGGGGGACTGTCGACGAAAAATAAAAAATACCCCAAACATACCCCAAAAAGGTCAAATAAATACTCCAAAAATGGTCCCCAGACTATTTTTGGATTATTCTTGGGTCATTTTGGGGGTATTTTTTATTTAATCGCTTCGCTCATTCCGCCGGCCCATATTGTCGCACCGTTGTGGGCTAGCCGAGTTTTGGGGCCTCTTGGGGGCCGTTTTGGGGCCTCTTGGGGCCTCTTTTGGGCCTCTTGGGCGCCTCTTGGGGCGTCTTGGGGGCCTCTTGGGGGCCTCTTGGGGCCTTTTTGGGGCCTCCTGGGCGCCTTCTGGGGCGGAGGGCTCGATTTTTCAGTTCTCGGTTCCCCTCTTGAGCCCCTCTTGGGCCCGTCTTGGGGCCTCTTGGTCCGTCTTGGGTGGCACTTGGGCCGTCTTGGGGGCCCTCCTGGGCCGTTCCGGGGCCGTCTTGGGAGCCTCGTGGGCCGTCTTGGAGCGGTCTTGGGGGCCTCTTGGGCCGTCTTGGAGCGTCCGGAAGCCGAAAAAGCCAGAACGCAAAAAACATAGAAAAAAACAATGAAAATCAACGATTTTGGCCTCTTGGGGCCCTCTTCGGAGGCCTCTTGGAAGGCCCTTGGGGCGTCTTGGAGGCCTCTTGGGCTGTCTTGGGGCCCTGTTGGGCGTCTTCGGGCGATCTTTGGCCGTCTCGGGGCCCTCTTGGACCGTCTTGGAGGCTTCTTGGGGACCTCTTGGCCCGTCCTGGGGCCCTGTAACAGGGCTCCGGCATCTCTGGCCCGACCTTGCCGGGACCTTGCCGGGGTACTTTTCGTCCGGGGACCCCCAGGGGCCGCCCCGCGCGCGCGAACTAGAAATATTGTTAACCAGGTACAGGAGATCTTAGCACGCCCTGGCCCGTTGGGCCGGCGAATTTTTCCTCGAGAATCCCCCTGTAGGGGGACAGGCCCGACTTAAGCCAGAGTGTCCTTGGGTGCGGGCTCACGGCGGGTCCCCGGACGCTGGTCCGACGCACGTTCCGATCCGGTCCGTTTTCCCATCTCGATGTTGGCGAGCCCTGCAACACGAGAGGAGCGGGAAGGAGGAGGAGGAGGAGGAGGAGGGGAGGGATCGGAGGAGGAGGCGGAGGAGGAGGAAGAAGAAGAGGAGGTCGGGCGCGATCTGGAGCCTGTTGTTCTCCATCTCGCCGTCGCCGGTGCATCGGCGAAATGCGGCGCGATCCTCCGGCCCCACCCGCACATCTTGGAAGGTTTCCGGCGGGCCTGCGCGCTTGGATTTGCCCCCCCCTTTTCCCCCCTCCTCCCCGCGGCCCCCCCAAAGCCGCGGGCGGGCCTGCGCGCTTGGATTTGCCCCCCCCCTTTCACCCCTCCTCCCCGCGGCCCCCCCAAAGCCGCGCGCCCGAGGTCGCTCTTGCCTGGGGCCGCCGAGCAGGGGGACGACGTCTTCGTCTTGGAGGTGCTTGGGGCGTGGGCTGCGTCGCCGCCCGTCGGCGTCGTCGCCGCCCTGCCTTCTTCGGTCTGGAGGTCTTCGGTTCGGTCCTGGATGTCCTCGTCGCCGAGGCTGGACGCGGCTCGAAACTCGGGCCTGGCGAAAGGGGGGGATTGGGAAAGGGGGGGTTACGAAATTTGCTACATGCAGCTGGTTTCGGCCTCACCGAGGGGCCCATTTCTCGATACATAGCCGCCTCCGGCGCCGGGAGGCGCGGGGAAAATCAGCTACGTGAGCTGATTCTCAAACCCCCCCTTTGCTATCCCCCCCTTTCGCCCGACCCGAGAAACGCTGGCCAGCACGGACCCCAGCAGAATTCCGGAAGACCGGCTTCGGCCAGAAGGCAATGCGCGAGGAGAGCAACGCAGCGATAGTGATCATGCGTCCTAGAAGTTCCAGCTCCCGAGCACCCTGAGCCAAGCGCATCATGGCAGCGTTCTCGTCCAGGCGGAAGGCCACGGGGGGAGAGGAACGTGACGTGGGGGATCCAGGATTGCAGGAGAGGCGCCCTAACGAGGCCCTCGTAGCGGCTCCTTGGCTGCCGCCGCGGGCCAAACGGGTGAACGAAAGGTGCGCGAGTCTCTTCACTCCACGCTTATTGCCCCCTCCCCTGCCGGACACCTGATCTAATGGCATATGGCCTATGGGTGAAGCACTGTACCTTGGTCCAACCGTTTGGGGGCGAGGTGGCAGTCCGGGGGCACTCAGGGCCCCTTTTGGGGTCACTGTCTTGCACTCCTCCTCCGATGTAGTCACATGCTGTCGTAGGCCACTTGCTGCCAGGAAACTCGCCTCCAAGCTCACGATTTGGCTAAGGAAACGGCATAGTGTGCTAACAGGCGATGGTTCGCAATTTTGTCGCCTGCGGTTCTGAGTGCCAAGGGGTTCCCGTGTCAGGTACGTAACGGGCTAGATATTGGAATACACCAAGTATTTCTTCCAGAAGGCTTCCAGAAATCTCGGGCTACACTCGTCTGCCTTGAAGTCCCAGGTCATCAGCCCTTCTGTTTAGGATCGATATACTTGGCCGACCCCGCCGGCCTGAATGAGGAGAACCTCACTGTGCTCGCCAGCGTGGTCCAGGCCTCCTCCAGCCAGTGCCTGCCGCTTCTAGTCGCAGGTGATTTCAACGTCAATCCCAGCAGAGTGATCGAAACGGAGCTTCCGACCAGGGCAAGGGTCCAGGTGATCACGCCAGATAAGCAAACATTATAGACGAAGGAGTCGAAATCCACTACCGTTGTCTTTTCTTGGGGTCGTATTGTGTCGAGCACTTCTTGAAGCAGCCGAAGGTTTTGGTAGACTATCCAAGTGGTCCGCATAGGCCAGTCGTGATGCATATGATTGTCGGGGCCCCGTATCTCATTCCCGTTATGGAGCAGCCTCGACATATCCTTGTGGTAGCCCTTGTGGGACCTCGTAATCTCTGCCCACCCTGGTCCAGAGTCTTGGGGCGCTGGAAGTTCTGGAAGGCATTCTTGAAGATCGAGACCGATATGCTGTTTTGGGGGACTCAGGACCGCCTGTGCCCGTGTAGCCAGTTTCTTTGGAAGCGCTAGTATCAGCTGTGGATGCATCCGACGGCTACTTGGTGGACGACATGTCCACAGCGCTCAGCATTATCACAGACACGCCTGTGGAAAAAGCAGGAGGCGCCGAGCTCAGGTGCCAACCTTTCGCTGAAAACCCGCCAAGGGTGTCGAGGCCAAGGACAGGAGGAGTTGGAGAAATGCAGCAGTTGCTGTCAGGTGGCTTCGCAACAGGTTCATCAACATCAGGAGGGGGTGGAGGAGACGGACCGAGAGGAGTTCCAGCAGGCCCAACTTGATATAGTCTCTCTACCCGTTGAGCTAGAAGTTGTCGCCGGGCTCGCAAGCTTTGCGAACGAGTGCGTACACGCGCATCCAAGCCACGCTCTTGGACGCTACCAGCCGCGAACCAGATTTCGATCTCATCGCCGATGTTGTCGCCGATCTGGACTCCGAGATTGAAAAAGCTCTGGACCGTGAAATCTTTACGGACCGAGCCGATGATCGTCAATCCTGGAAGCTCTGGGTGAAAGAAGCCACGGGGGAAGGAGTCGGTCGGGCCCGCAGGTGGAGTAGCAGGCTCACGGCATATCAACTTTCCAAAGTGTGGAACCCTTCTAAGTCTCGCTGGTCAGGCCGCCCGATTGATACGTTGGAGGCCGAGCAGCAGCGCTCGAGCAAGTTGTGGCGTGTTCGCCCCGACGAGCCCGCACTTTTGCAAGCCGAGCTGCGAGGAGGTGACCTTGCAGATATCTCGGCAGACCAGCTTCGGGCCGCCAGCCGCGGCTACAGTAGCTCCACAGCTAGGGCCTGGGATGGGTGGGATCCACCCTAGGCACCTGGGCCTCCTGGAGGACGCCCATGTGGACATCGCGTGCAGGCTCCTCAGAGCCACCGAAAGAGTGGGTGCTTTCCCGACACAGATTAGGGCCATCGTGACGGTTCTCATCGAAAAGCACAAGCCAGGCCCAAACCCAGGTCCAAACTACAGGGGTATAGGTATGATGCCAGGCGCTTGGGATGTCTGGGACACGCATCGCCAACTTGAGTTTCGAGCTCGCGAGCGAGCTCATCCTCGTAGGTACCTAGCTCATCAAGTTGGTAAAGGAGTTGTGGATGTGGTTGTTGAGCAAGCCACGCAAGCTCAAGGGCACTTCTCGGGCAAGAAGAACGTTCGCTCAGCAGCTGTTTATGGGGTTATCTAATTGTTATATGCGAGTACGTGGATAGGGAACTCTGGAGGGACAGGGCTCGGGTGACCACTCTCGGACTCGCTAGTGCCGGGCGCCCTGGGCAGTCGCCGCCCGTGCTTCCGCTCTTCCTGCAGGGCGCCCTGATCGAGGCATCGGCGCAGGCTGCTAGGCCGCCATTTCGTCGTGCAGCAGTATTGCCTGCCGCCCATAACTCATGGACATCTGGGTGGCCCAGAACCCGAGGGATCCTGGAGGCCTCGAAGGTTTCCATAGGGGCCCTATAGGGATCCTATAGGCCCCGCAGGGTCTCCATAGGGATCCCACAGGGACACCGTGGTCAGAACTAGTATTATTGTATTAGGATCCGCTTGGAATCGTATTATTCTACAGCTGGATCAATTTGTAATGACGTTTTCGCGGTGCCCAAGGTATCCTCA